TCTCCATGTACGTATTTCAACGTTATGGAAGATAAAAAAAAAAAAACCAATGAAATTATGAAAAGAAGTAGATTCGCGAGTGAGATTTTAAAAGAAAGAGGCAATTTGTGTCGGAACGTTATTTTCCCCCTTCATCGTGAGATATTGCACTAAAACAAAAACGGAAGTTATGTTTCCATAGTTATTAGACACTTTTCTCAACCACAAAGTATTGTTTCATCATTCATTCATTTATTCATTCATTCGTTTTAAGAGATTTCTTTTCTATCTTCCTTATTTTCAATTTCATTTTATTTTTTCGACAATAATGAACGACGAATAGAACAAAGAATAAGAAGAAAAAGAAGAAGAAGAAGAAGAAAAATAAAAAGAGGGGGGGAAAAAAAGAAAAAGACAAATACAAAGTAGAAGAAATATAAAGGAATTTCGTATAGCGTGCACCGAATCTCAACTCGTTGATCTACCGTTGAGAGGGGCTCGTGGTTGTTTGCTATTGCGAACTCGGTTAATTAAATGTTACGCAATCGTCCATTACTATGATGTTATCAAGTATTAAATGCACTCTCGCAAAACCGGCTGCTTTTGTTGGTTTCTTCTTTTTTTTTTTTTTCAAGTGAAAATTTCTTTTGATTTGAAAATCGTGAAACGGAAGAAGAACGTGAAACGGAAGGTAACCGTGAAACCGATGAAACAAAAATAATTAATTGATTAATAAAAACAATTAATTAATTTAAAACAATTTGTAATTTATAAAAATAATTTTAAAAAAAAATTTGTAAAAAAAACATAATTAATTAAATAATTAATAAAATTCAATATATATATATAATTAATAATCAATTATCATGAATAAATCAAATTATAAATAATGGCTGCTTACGTTGATACATTTTGACTCTAGCTGTAAACTCAACAACTAAATCGTACACCCGTTACATATAATATAGAAATATTTTCTATTTAATTAATTTCTAATTTAACTATTAAATATTAATTAAATAATACTATAATTTCATTAATAGTAAATTCAAAAGAATGTTGCTACAAATAAAAGTTGCTAAAACTAAAAACGTCAATCAATTTTTGTTGTTAAATAAAATTTCATATAATTTGCAATTAATTTAACATAAACTTATCTATTATTTATAATTAATTAATATATTCAATATCTTTAAATAATGCCATAATTCATTTTATTTATACTTTTTTTTACTCTTTTCTTTTTAAACATACGAATAGGTGTGTTAGGTTAGGTTATCATTAACTTTCATATACTTTAGTCACACACAAATTTATTAATACAATTTTAAATATTTTTTTCCTCATTCGTTTCTTACGCGAGTTTTCTTTTTTTTTTTTATTTTATCCTGCTGCTTTTTCTTTCCTTGTTTTTTTTCTTAATTTTTTTTTTTCGATCAGAAATCATTAAATATTTGAAATGTCAACGAGACCATAAAACAAGCGTTGCGATTCGTTGTTACGTCATCGAATTAGAAACAAGCATGTTACGTTGTGACGCGTTACACTTAAATAGAAAGTGCACACACACACACACACACACATATATATATACTATATATGGATGTGTACATGTTCTGTATGTATTTCTACTTTGTATATATCTATTTATGCATGTGTATGTTTAAATGTGTACGTGAATTGTGCAGTCACTCGAAAAGTGCATCCAAGACCACGTGACTTTGACACATTGGCGCGGTTGAGTTTAACTTATCGACCGCTACGTGGCAGCACCTTATGGTCATTCTAATATATTCTACATACAAGAATATTTTCACATATAATGTATATACGTATATACATGTATATAACTTACTCATACATATATACGTGTACTAATAGATTTATTTTGAATTAAGTAATGTTCCTTTAAGTGTTTGCTAATTGATAATGATTTAACTCGTCAAACGATTACGAGGTTATATTTGAGAAAATATTGGTAATCGTCAAGGTCATCGGTTATTTTTTTTCTCTCTTCATATTTATCTTTTCTATTTCAAAAAACAAATAAAAAGGAAAAAAAAAAGAACATTTACACGGTTGAACTTCCATCATATATTGACACCCGTTATAAAAACCTTTTTATTAAAAGATTTTACTATAGTAATGCGAATAAACATAAATTATAGCTGTTTGTTATAAAATTAAGATCAATGATTTAATTTTAAATTGTTAATGTTTTATTTATAAATATTTAAACATTCAATCGATTGTTTATCAGTAAGTAAATTAATAAAGGGTTTGATTTTATCGATAATAATCGAATTTACGATTGTAATACAGAGTTTCGGTGAAATATTGCGTAACAAAAGTTTGCTTATGATTGGTCCATTTAATAATAAGATTACTCTAATTGCATTTGAATATTTTTCCAACTAACCTATACTCATGAACAATAAACGGACGATTGATTTTCCTGTTATATACAGGTTCCATTTGCGATTTATTGTTTAAATTGCAAATTATCTATGACTAT